GGACTAGCCACGAGGTGGTGAACCAGTATAAATCTCGGTGTTCTTCTTTCCCTTACTCTCTTTATTTATTCCTGCGATTTTATTATTTCACACACGGGAAAAACACACATTCTTGAAAACAACTCTATTCACCCCCTCTAGAGTTGCACATTTGTCTAACAATTGGTATCAGAGCGGGAAGTTCTTTGAATACGTTGTTTTTCAGGAACTAAAAGATCATATGGCATCAAGGATGTGTTGGGAAACGAGGCTTGGATAACGCAGCGGAAAACAAAAAATTTATAGTCCAAAACTCGATTCCACCCAAGAACAACTTACGTAAATTACTAGCTATAGTAAGAAATTTACCTTAACGGTGAAAACGGAGAACATAGGAACGGTCGGGGATGGTTTTGAGGAGATGAATGCAGCGCCAAACGTATGAAGCCTCCAACGTATCCACACGAACTTGTTCCGGAGTCCAATATTAAACTTGTGCTAGAAGGTTTAATATAGGGTAGTAAAAACTATAATAATACTACTTTGGGAGTAATAAATATATAGTAAAATATTTATCTTATAAATATTTCTTTATAATATTTTTTGTATATTTCTAACACTTTAAAAAAATAACTTTGAACACAAAATAAAATTTTCTTCTCTCTAAAATTGGGATGGCCGAATATCACACACTTAAATGGGGAGGGATTTTTCTCATTTTATAATAAACAACTTAAATGAATTTCTAGGAAATAGCTTAGGGACAAAAACAAATTAGGATTATTGTAATGTCCCCAACCAACACAACAAGACAAATATCCTTTTGTTAATCAAATATTGGATTATATCAATCAAATATATCATTAGGTAGAAAATCAATTTAAGTCTTGTATTTTTCCCTTTGATATTTTCGGCCATAACATGTTAAAATACATTACATTTTATTTTTACATCAATAATTATCATATAACTAAAATGATGAAAATAAAAGTAATATATATATATATATATATATATATATATATATATATATATATATATATATATATATATATATATATATATATATATATATATATATGAAAAGGATGGCCAGATTTTTAGAGCGAGAAAGCTCCAGCGAATTCAGGGTTCGTCGTTGCCATATCAATCTTCGTCCGGATTATCAACGGCCAATCCATGGTTTCAGGACACAGTCAAGTGGGTACACAGATGTTTCTCGCCGGCATCGTCAACCTTATCCCAATTCATACAACAGATCTGGTTTCATCAATATAGTCAGCAGCCAAAGCGCATATCACAACCACAGAACCTCAAAGCTTCGCTGTCGAGACTATAGATGGCAATTCAAATCCCCCGAGGTAAGTGCCTTGAAGAATTCATATGTGCTTTCAGAACAGAGAATAATCGTACAGGGTCAGAGTGAGAACACCCCTCCATGGCCTAGCAAGAACATTAGATTCAAATTCAGAATTCTTAATAAGGTATTTGAGCTATTTTACTCTGTCTACAATAAGGTCTTCAGTATTACTGATAGGGGGAGAAAAAACTTCCATTTATGGTTTGATTCTGATTCACTCAATTGGGTCATAGAATCTCTTCCTAGACTGATTTCCTGTTCTACTTGGGCGTGTGTTAAATTGGATGTTAGAAGAACACTTGAAATTGCTATTGACTCTAATCGTAGGGGGGATTTTATTCGCATCTTGGAATCTAGAAAAGAAGGTAACAGATTCATTCATATCCCCTTTGGAGTACATAATGATGGGCCTAATCAATTCCTTAAGGCTATTTTGTGCTTTGTTGAGAGAGCTCGGTGTTTGGACAAGGATAAGGGGTTTGGGGAGTTTGGGGCAGCAGTAGGAGGTTCAGGAGCAATAGAATCTGAGGTTGTTTTTGTGAGAGAGAATGTAACTGGTCCAGTGCACTCTGTAGAGATTCCTACTCATGATGCTAAAGACACTCTGGTCCTAAATTTGAAGGATCATGAGTTAAGCTCTAATCTTTTGGAAGGGCAGAATCTACAACATGGAAACATAACTGATCTGGTTAATTGCTCAGAAGTAACTTCTGAACTGGATGTGCCTAAGCATAAGGAAAACATTGCTCTGGCAGAGCCCTCTTCTTCATACAATATTCAATACCCCCAGCTTCCTAGAGTGCGCCTATCCCCTTTTGATGCTGAGTTCATTCCACTTATGCCCAACACTTATGCAGCTCTCTTTGATCAATTAAAAGACCCGGAAGATGGCAGCCCACTCAAAGATTATGTTTTTGGAAGAATTGATGATGGGAACTTGGTACTTTGTAACAATGCACTAGAAGACATCAGGGAAGAAAGAGAGGGGCCTATTCTATATACGCATTCAGAAGGAGAAGACAAGGTCTTCAATGACAACATACTCAAACCTCTTCAAATAGATTATTCCAGGATGTTCAAAACACCTTTTGATTTCGGGAGAGAATTCAAGGGCAGGCACATCTACTCTCCTTCTCAAATAGTAACTCGAAGTAAGGCAAAGATTTTAGAAGAGGGTAGAAAGAAAACACCAATGGGTTGGGAGGAAAGGTCAGATGGCTCAGAGATTAATTTTGCAGAAGACATTAGGAATATTTTCAAGGAATGCTGTCCAAACAAACCAGTAAAAGCAACCAAGAAACAGTTCACAAATAAGCCTTTAACCAAGTGCCAAAAGAAAAAGTCTAAAAAGAAACTCAAAAAGAAGAAGGCAGGAGGGCAGGAAAAGGATGAATCCGATTGATCTCGCACTAGAGGCTTTTGAACGATTATCATGGATGTTGTTCTCGGTTGGGAACTACCATTTCTAGGCATGGGCTTGCTATGTACTTGCTTAGGGTTAAAGGGAATTATGGTTGCAGAAGAATGCAGGAGATTGGTGAA